GGGATAAAACACAGGCGCTTCATCAATATCAGGTCTGCATGCTTCCTCTGGGTTCCATCTAGCTGATATCTGCAAGAGGCCAATAATGAAATCATCAAGGATCACAAGGTAACAGAAGAAAACACAAAAAATGCGGACTATCTCGGATTTGATGACACATATGTTTCTTCCAATTTATTTTCCCATGTCTTTCTTTTAAGTCATAAAGTACCCAAGGGCGCCTGTGTTATGTTATTCAAACACAAAACTTTACAGAGGTGAAGGTATCACTTCTTAATTATTAAACGAATGCTATGCAACACGATAACTAATTATAAAACGGCCTGTACCTTTCGGATTCGAGGGCTGCCAGAGCCCTCAAGTGTGCTATCACTTTTGTGGTAGTTCTTAGAAGAATGATCCTGCAAAGCATTTTGTGTAAGAATAAAAAATCAATTGACAGCCGAAATTTACATTCTTTGACAGACCAAAGGCATTCAGTTAAGACAAGCAACACTGTAATACGAAAGATCCTTCAAAATATCTATTTAAAACCATTTACTTTCTCAATTTCTCCGCCCATAATACACGTTCAGGTGTAGACAAACACATTACAGTAGCAGATAAAAATGGCCACAAAGACGATATGCAATAGAAATCTGAAATTCCAGATGCACACAGGACCGCGCAAACAAGCGCAGGGGGATCTTACAAAAACCGATTGTCAAAGCAATCAATAACAAACTTCGAAGAAAAGAAAAACCGATATCAATTAAATTAAACAAAAAAGGAAGAACAGTTAAACACATGCTATAGATTTTACAATATAAGAAACAGATAACACAGATCTGCAATTTCTTGCAGGTTAACGATACAGATGATTTCGATAACATTAACAGAAAACACAACATCTTATCCGGCCTGACATTGAAACCCGACACATACATATGACATAACTCCACACATATATATGACACAATGGAAAGAATACAAACATTACGGATTAGAAATCCAACCTCCTTCTGCTGAGATTCGACAGTTAATTGTAACTGTTCCATTGACGGTAAAAATTTGTGAAAACCCTGATTAACCAATAATATCTGCAAAAGAAAACCCTTTCACTTATCAAAATCAATACATAATCAATCAACCAAAAAACAGATTTCCTACTTCTCCATAACCAAACAGTACTTAACCAAAAGAAGACAAATTTATGCAATACCTAATTCACCCAAACCAGCAAAGGCAATTCCCCAGAAACAATTTATTTCCACTTTCTGATCAAACAAAAACAAACCCAATTGGCATTTTCACGAACTGAACCCAAATCAAAACGAAAAACCCAATACTTTTTCAATTGCATGCATCTAACCGCCCCAAAAATTCTTACTGTTTTTGGTAAATTTAAATTCTTTTCTACACCCCCAATAAACTAAATTTTTTTCCTATTAAAGCAAAAAATTGACTTGGTAAACAAAACAAATATATTCGGAAAAATTAATCAAAGTACAAAAATAAAATAAAAAAATGATTAGTCTATGAACAATGAGGACGAAAGCAGACAAATACCCAAGACATGGTCTTTCAGAGAATTAAATATATAGAATATTAAATATGGAGAAAAGTGGATTGAAAAATCAAGAGGGTACCCAAAGAACACGCCTAAAATTCCCAGGTAGGGTGATGACTTGATGTGTAGGCAATAGGCATACTTGTGAATATATGCAATGCAACCAAACCCTCCTCCTCTGTAAACACACCTTTCAGAAAAATAAAATAAAATCTTGGTATTTTAGATATAGTTTTTTTTTTTTTGGATAATAATAGTAAGAAATAAATAATAGAAACAGAGAGAATGAGGTGGAATAAGGAATCCTGCTTGAACGAGGAATGTGGATCTAATACGTGTAGGAAAAGGAGAAAAAAGAAAAGAATTTGTCTCTTCTTTTTTTTTTTTTTTTTTTTTTTTTTTTTTGGTGTTTTCTTCGAATTTGTGAATATTTATTTATTTATGTATTTAATTTAGAGGGAGAGGTGCTTCCAAAATATATATATATATATATATATAGAGGGAGAGAAGATGGAGAGAGGGTCAACCCGGAGTTCGTCAACCCGCACAAGCGCACGCAGATTTAACGGTGAGGAGTCCAACACTCCAAATCCAAAGTGCAACCAACCCCACAATAACTTGTTTGCAAGTTATTCGAGCTAAAGTGGGCCCTTCTCACTTGGCCAAGAAAAGTGGGACCCTATCACACAAATGCACCGTATAATTAATGAACATTCACGTGATGTTACTAATCTTACTAATCAGCATTAGACTCAAATATAGAAGGCATTTTTACACATGATGTGTCTTATTTGGGGTCGTTTAGCTTAGTTCTTGGGAAAATAGAATAATGTTACATTTATAATGTATTTGTACTATTTTTTTTTATAGAGCTAGAGTCAGCAATACACGTTAGTGTCATTTTTATTAAAAATATAATACAAACGAATTGTAAAAATAACATTTAAAAAAAAATGATTACACATGATTCTATACATGTGGTATCACATAAGTTGTAAATGCATTTGTTCTAACATCTTTTGATTTAGATCTTAGCTTACACTATCCCTTTTTTTTCTTATCAATAGTAGTTAGATATTTAATAATTGCTTGCACGTGTTGTGATCAAATGTTGTTTAGAATAATTAATGTGATAAAGTCCGAATTAATGGATGATATTGTTCAAATATATGTTTTTTTTAGTACAACGATATATTTTACACTAAGAGTAAGGAGAGTTCGGTTAAGCCACACACTGAGCAACCTAATTTGGTATCAATTTCACCATCTACGAGATTCGAATATAAGACCTCTCACTTACAAGTAAAGAGGAATATCACCATACCGTAGTACTTAGTGGCAAATATATGTTATGATTTCGCTTTTTAGATAGGATAGTACTATTCACACACCAATTTTTATGTTTCACACATATTTATCGTGTCAAGTCGTACTATAATTTGAGTCACGCCAAGCATGCGACATACTTAAATGAGCTCGAGTCACGTAACAGGGCTTGCCGAGTGGGTTGTGGTGTAGAGGTTACGGAAGTTTACTAGCCTCCATGAAATTATGATTGTGTAAGACTTTGGATTGCTTTCGGAGAATCAAAGTCCAAGCCCATGAGTTTGCCTTCTTGTGGGAAGGCTTGAGAAAGCAATTTTTGTCCTTACGCTTTCCCTTACAAACTAAGATATTCAGGAACCAACCAAACCCAAAGTTGAGCTGACCAAATTACGTTTTGATCTTGAGCCGTGCGCCTCCTTTAATGAGCAGAAGAAAGTATATTTCCCTTCCAAGCTCTTATAGGGAAATGAGGGAGAAAACATAGAAGAGCGTTGCCAAAGATGGAGTCGTATTGTGGGACTTTGTGCAGGAAAGTAGGAACCCCGGGTATCGTGTTCAACCTAGGCTTCACGAGGCTACCAATCATTTGCAATGTTATACCAAATAGAACCATGTAGCTGTAACCATGGAAAGAATAAGGGAAGACTTAGCAGACTTAGAAAAAGAGAAGAAACCAAGAGATTCCCCAGCTGGAACTTGAATCGATCCATGCACCTATAAATCAAGAGCATTAGCACGCATGAAATGGGAGAGACACACCAAGCAGAGCAAGTTATTTATAAGTGTTGGAAACCCAACCCACGAGTTTTAAACCATCCCTTCACTCTGATCTTTTTCTAATAAGCTTCCTTACCCCCTTCAAAACCATACAACCAAGAATAGCCTCTCTCACGTCAACTAATAGGCTTTTAGCTCCCACGTCGCGCATCATTCAAGCAAGTTATAATGTATTGTGACTACTTGATTGTTCCCAGTGTTGGTTAGCCTCTTAAAAGTCGTCACAAGTAGGCCTGACATTTTGGACCAAACCCGTTAACCCGACCCGTTAACCCAATCCGACCCGATCCGTTAATATTTGTATTTGGGTGGATGCTTAACGGGTCGGGTCGTTAACGGGTGAACCCGTTAAATAACGGATCACTTTGGGTCACCGTTAACACCCGTTAGCACCTTTTAGTTAAGGATATTTTAGTAATTTTAGTAAAGTCTTAATAACAAAAAATAAACTTTATGCAAAAAAATAATAATAATAATTGTTAACGGATGAAACGGGTGACCCATTAGCTTAACGGGTCGGGTTCGGATGACCCGTTAACTTAACGGGTCGGGTTGAACCCAACCCAAACCCAATAAACCCGACCCATTTACAGATCTACTCACAAGCACTTCATCAGTGTCGGAAACATTTGATTATCGCTGGAAGCGCTTTATTAGTGCCAAAAACATTCAACAACCGTGGGAAGCATTTCAACAGTCATCAAAAAAGCTTCAACAGTCGCAGGAAGCACCTCAACAGTTGTGGGAAGCTCCTCAAAGTTGCTGGAAACACATCAACCATGGGAACAAATTAAACCGAAAAAACTTCAAAGAAAACCGAACTAAATCGAACCGAACATTAATGTAGTTTGATTTTCATTTTTGACAAAAAAACTGAACTAAACAAAACCCAACTCAACCCAAATTTTCACCCATTGGACCCAAAGTTTAAAATATCCACAAAATTGTCGATATTTCTGTCGAAATGTTAGAAAAATCAAAGATCGATATGAAAATTGGGTTGCACTTCACCCTATATCGGCGTGCTATAGGAAAATACAGGAATTTTGTCCATACCCATTGTAGATTTCGAATTTTTGAACTTTCTTTGAAAAATAAATTTTCTAATTCGACTAAGTTTTAATGAGTTAATATACTTAAACCATTACAAACTTCCGTAAGTATTAATAAGTTGATATACTCACACCATTACAAATTTCCGCTATTATTAATATACATCCATCAAATTTTCATATATTTCCATGTCAATATTTTTTTTAAACACTACATGGACCTTATTTTCTCTCCCGTAGAGGTAGACGACATTAGCCGATTAGAACCGAGATGTCGGTTTTACAACATAAAAAAACAAGGTTGTCCGTTGAAAATTCTAATGTGAATCCGATATCTCCAATATTCCAACACATTATTTACACAACAACAATCAACGATATCACAAACGCAAAGAACTTCAACAAACGACCAAAAACTTTATTCTTCCCTTCTTTTCTTCGACATTTCCTTATCATTTCCTCCGTATCCAGAAAGCCCGCGTCTTTCTTTGGATTCGATTCCGCGTTTTGGATTAATAAAAAATTAAAAAAATTCCCAAAAATTTCATATTTTGGTCTCAGATTTTACCTTTCCTCGAACCTCAGGTATTCATTTATTTGTTTTATTTGTTTTTTTTTTCCGATGAATAATCGATATTGCGTTGACTTGGATTGATTGAAGCTCTTTGTTTGGGATGCAGCAATTCGATTACGTCGAATTACAGCTCCGATTGCTCGAGGGGTCGTGAAATTTGAACTTTTTTGAACGAAATCAGGTATCTTTTTTTCTTCTGATTTTACTTATTTTGTGGAAACAATTGTTAATTTGAATTTGGTGGTTAATTTAAGAGGCTGCTTTTTCCTAATTGCTTGCAATGGTGTTAGTGAATTGCTGCATATTTGCGTATTTCAATGCATTTGTTATGGTTTAGTTCCTCTATGTTTCGTTTGGGCCTCGGCATTACGTTTGGGATTTTACCTGCCAGAACTTATTTAGGCTTGAGATTTTGTCTGCCAGAACTTTTCAGGTTTTGATCTTTTTATATAGAACCCACCTTGTTCATCGATGTTTGTGTTTATTTGGCTGAAGACTTGATATGCTTGTGCTTCAGTTTACGTGTAGATTGTAGGAGGTGGATTGTGTCTGAAACATGTAGGAATATCTCTTTTGAGTGTAGATGGGAACCCGATTTTCCAGATGGATAATGAAACAGCCCCGCCAATATTTCTTGGCTGTCCGGTATAAAACAACCTCATCTGAGTATGTAGCATCGAGAGCCAGAGATCCCACGTTTGAGAAACTGATGGACAAGTACAAGAACCTTCTCAAAGTCATTGCTGTCCAAGATCTCATCCTTGCAAACCCCCACGACCCTGCAGTGTCCCTAGATTTTCTCTCCAAGCTCTCGCAAAAGCTCCATCTCAACCGTGGTGCAGTGGCCTTCCTCCGCAAATACCCTCACATTTTCCACATTTACCATGATCCCATGAAGTCCCAGACCTTTTGCAGATTAACTGACAGAGCCGTTCAAATTTCTAAAGACGAAGCTGAGGCTATCAACGCCTCGTTGCAACTTGTTGTTGATCGACTGCTTCGGCTTCTATCAATGTCTACTTCCAAGATGTTGCCACTCCGCGCCATTTTTAAAGTTGGCAGGGAACTTGGGCTTCCCGATGATTTTGAGGACACTGTAATATATAAAAACTCCCATCTTTTTCATCTTTGTGATGCTCATGAACCCAATACTCATAACTTGAAACTGGTTAATGCAACTTCTGACAAGTTCATTGCAGCGGTTGAGAATTGGAGGGTAGAGGAATATTACAAGGAGGGTAGCAATGTTGATAGGGCTGAAATTCAGTTTAGTTTTAAACATGGATATCCTCCAGGGATGAAATTAAGAAAAAAATTTAGAGCCAAGGTCAAGGAGTGGCAGAGGTTACCTTATGTGGGCCCATATGATGTGATGACAGAGAAGAAGAGGTTGTCTAAGGCCGGAATGATGGCTGTGGAGAAACGGGCAGTTGCAATTGTTCATGAATTCTTGAATTTGACAGTAGAGAAGATGGTTGAAGTGGAGAAAATCAGCCATTTCAGGAAATGTTTTGGATTTGATGTGAATATAAGGGATTTGTTCTTGGATCACCCGGGGATGTTCTATTTGTCAACCAAAGGAAAGAGACACACTGTTTTTCTGAGAGAAGCTTATGAGAGGGGGTGTTTGATTCACCCAAATCCAGTTTATAATGCTAGGAGAAAGCTTCTGGATCTTGTCGTTTTGGGGCATCATGGCTTGTTTAATGATGGCTCTAAGCCGAGGAACCTTGCTAGTGACAAGGAGGCCAAGTCACTGGAACAGCACAATGAAGAAACCTGTAGCTCTGATTAATTAATGCAGTTTTTCCTTCCTGTGAACCTGATAAGTTTAAGACTTTAATAGTCAGAAACTTATTCAATTTTGATCATATCGCGTGACTGTGAATGTCAACGATTCTTTTTATTTGGCTTAAGAAATGATGCGAGTATTACTATGTGGTCTTGAAGGAGCAGCTAGAGCTCTCGCTTATACTTGGATTTAAGTTTTGGTGTTTCTCTTTATATTTCCTGTGTTACTCATATAAACCTTTAGTTAAATTTACCTTAACTTACAGAAACTTAAAAAACAAAAAATTATGACACATTTTGCCTGTATACCTATAAAGTAGGAGGAAGTGTGGTAGCTTATTTCTAAAGATGGGATCGTCTGCCGCTATTGGTGTTCCCTTTGTAGTGTTACTGTAGTTAATTAGTTATACGAAGTCATCTTTGATTTCATGATCAATCACAATAGCTGACTTGCTGCAAGAAATTCAAATCTTGCGTTGTAGATCAGGAAATGCTGGAAGAAATATTAAAAAAATAAGGTTGCAATCTCTACCAACCAGGAAATAAACTATCTTTAACACATTAAGGTGTGCATGTGCAGTAATGCTGGGACATCTTGTAGTCATGAAACACAAAGTAGTTTCTCCTTGATAGATCTTCAAATCACTGGTTAGGAATGTTTGCCTCAATAGTTTTTTTCTCTTTATACATATATCTCTTGTTTCTGTGAATGATGCAATTGCTTACTTAATTACTAAGGCCTGACTTGTTTTAACTTTAAGTATTTATGCTGCGTCAAGAATGGGGACCTTATTCTGTATAGAAGGGGTTTCTGTCCTTTCCACCCTTAGAATTGTAGATTATCTATGATTGTTGAAATTTGAGATTATCTACGAGTGTTGAAATTTGAGTGTTAGGATTGGCAAGTTCTTTGAAGACATGAAGACCTCAAGGTTGGTTCGATAGTGGGAAGACCTCTAGGGCCTAGATTTTCATGAAGAAAGTTAGTTCAGTCTTGTTGCTATGATTTGCTTTTCTAAATTGTATATTTTTTTTTAATTTCTGAAAGTAAAGAAAAACATATTTTGGGTAAGCTTTAGGATTTCTCTTCATAAGCTTTCTTACTTCTTTTACGCATTGTAAAATTTGATAATAGATATTTTCAAGTTTTCAGGTTTCCTTTTCGAAAGTTTGGTCAGTTTCTTCAGAATTTGTAATTGAGTACAACACTGTGTAGCATATTGGCCATATAGTAAAAGATCAGAGTTGTGGAGTTCTATAGTTTTCTCTAGTCGTATTTCTGTTGGTAACGCCTCATTGTGTTTGTATGTTTCTAAAAATTGCAGCTATGCAGAGCCAGCTTGTGTGTAGTGGGTGTAGGAGCATTCTTCTGTATCCTAGAGGAGCAACGAATGTTTGCTGTGCATTATGCAATATAATCACCCCAGTCCCTCCTCCTGGTAATGTCCCTTTTGCTTATCCTTTTTCTTAATGGGTGGCAGAGCAAAGGATAAATATGCTGTGTGCTATCATTATAGGACTAGAGACTGATAGACTTCTGTCTAACCTAATTAGCATTTTGTTGGAGAGGTATAGGTTTGGTCACAAAACGTTTGTGCAATGACCTTGCAGGTACGGAAATGGCTCAACTTATTTGTGGGGGTTGTAGGACGTTGCTAATGCACACACGTGGGGCGACAAGTGTGAGGTGTGCCTGCTGTCACACAGTGAATCTTGCTCCAGGTATAATATAAGCTCCCTTGCGTAAAAAAAAAAAAAAAAAACTGAAGTTTTAATTGTCAAGTCATGGAATTGCCGCATTGCAATCTTTGCTCCCCTAAAAATGAAAAAATATATATTAAAAGGGAAATTGATCACTCTTGTAATCTGCCACATAGTGGAAGGAGATCATGCAGCCTTAATGTTTTCCAAAATAAACAATCTTAGGTAGAGACCGTCAGTCCCATGATACTGCTGAGGCATTTCAGTTTATCACTGCATAGTGGAAGGAGATCATGCATTATGTGCGTGTAACTATGAATCCATTTCTGCAATGTTTAGGCAACTCCCAAAAGCTCATTTTGTTTTATATGCTTCTATTTGGAAGGTTCTAGATTATTTTTAGTTTACTAACTTAAAAAAAACTTCTCTCTTTATGTAATGGATAGAGAAAAATTCAAAGATTGTAAGTTTGAAGGAAGCAGATTTCACCTACCTTATGAGGACAGTCATTTTGAAACTTCATTGATTCATCAACATGTCTTTGTATTAAATGAAAGACCATAAGTAAGAATTCCCTTTCTATTGTTTTGCTGTTAATTTTTGTTCCTTTTAGAAGCAACATGGCAGCAATGCTCCCTGTAAATATCAGAGTTTGACATTTATGTTCTTTTGGAGAATTGGAATTACTTACTGAAATTTGTCTTCTGTGTTGTTCACTAAGATCTTAAAAATTTGATTTTAACCAGGATATTTTATAAATGCAAATGTAGAGCTTATTCTATGTTGGATTACTGTTTTTACTTCCTCAGCCTGCTATTGACTTCTCTTTTGTGGGTCTTATTATTGCAAAAATAGCATCCAGTCAGGTTGCCCACATCAACTGTGGAAATTGTCGGACAACACTTATGTATCCGTATGGAGCTCCTTCAGTCAAATGTGCACTCTGTCAGTATGTTACAAATGTTGGTGTAAGTATAGATGAACCTTCTTACTTCTGAGTGCATTAGAATGTTCTGTGTCATGCTTTAATTTTGGCTAAAGATGCTTGCTTACCACATGTTACAAGGTTGTTTTGGATTTACGTGTGTGCAACAGTTCTTGGATTGTTTGATTGGTAGTTTTTAACTTTTGATAAATTCACTAGATGTTACGAATCCTCTTGTTAATACTAGGTGTGGTTGGATATAAATGTTGCGTGTCATCCTCTTTGCAAATGAAGATATCCTACAGATAACCACTGGCATTTGATACAAGGGAAATCTTGGGTTAAACTACTTGAGGGGAGGAGGCTTCAGGGAATCGGAGGGATACACTGTTATGTAAACTAGCCAAAGGAACCAAAAAAGGAACACAATTGATTTAGAGAGATCGTCAATTTTATCTGGTTGAAAATAAACTAAAAATTACATAACATTTGCATGTAGCTATGGCTTATATGTATGCGTCCCATGTTGATGTCAGAATATAAGACTGAAGTCGAGGGATAGCACTTGAATAAACATAAAATTCCGTTGCTTCGTATTGTTGTCTTCTTGGGGCCTACGGACAAACTGGTGCCTCCTATTTTCCGTTATAATCTACACATGATAACATTTGGACGTATGCATCTTGCATTGTGATTGAGTGTTGATTTGAACATTTTACAGATGTCCAATATGAGGGTTCCAATTCCAGCGCACAGACCTAATGGGACAACCAATTCAGGAATGGTGCCCTCTACTTCAGCAGTAAGTTCTTAAAAGCATACTATTTATAATTCCCAGATGAGACCGCCTTTGTGGTAGTACCATATGATGCATAGTGAACTCTATTGAATTTATTTCTCTTGTATTTTCTCAGAGCCAGACCGTCGTCGTTGAGAACCCTATGTCTGTCGATGAAAGTGGCAAATTGGTAAGCTTGTCCGATAATGCATCCGCGTATTTGCCTATGTTTTCTTTGAAAATCCCTTTTTCCTAATTGAGCAAACAAAAGATCTCCTGATGATAATACCCTTAATCTCACAGGTGAGCAATGTCGTCGTCGGTGTCACAACGGGAAAAAAATAGCACAGCAGGATTCTGAAGTCTGTTGCACCTAGTTTTACATGGCAGGGAACAAATCAAGTCCATATTACAGATTACTTGGAAGCTAGACATGTTCAAATTGGTTGTATATTTTTATTGGAGTTGTTCATAAACATCTGTGCGAGAGACATTTCAAATGCGAGGCGTCGGATTAATGTATTACGTCACCGTGTGTTCCAATTTTCGTTGAGTGACTGCCGGATAAAGTATATATATATTTTTTTGAACTGCAAATCCAAATTGTCGCACATTTGTTTTCTATGTAAACAATTTACGTATATGCAACTTCGATTAGCTAATCTTGCATTACTGAAAGTATTCTTCCAGAGTGCTTATCATTTGCCTTTCTGTTCAAGGTTGGCAGTTTTGCCACTCATAAAATCATAGTTGGCGATCCCTCGTTCTCAGCAAGTGACCCTCTTATCACAGTGGTGGAGAAGAATGTTGCCCTTGCGTCATGGCATGGATTCGAACCCCATCAGCTAACTGATTTAACATCTAATTTTACAAATCTATCATTTGACAAATAAAAAAACGTCAATTCTTCCTTATTCTAAATATGCTCTCTTTTACTCTTTTGACTAGAGTGTGGGAATGCTCACGACATGTTTACGTAATTGGAATAAGAGAAAGTCATGAATTGTAAAATTACGGAGTGTAATGAGAAAGTCACATAATTTATTTCTGTATGTGTTAGTAATTGTATGAATAGTCAAGAATCGGAATAATTTGAACGCCCATGTTTAGCAAAGACGCCATCAAAAATTTTCTTGCATTCATGAAGCGAAAAGCTAATGATGTAGAGAAGAATGTCGAAATTGCTGATGTGTTTGTGCAAGGACGCCAAGAAGAAAGTTTAAACTAAGGTAGTTATGCATTTGTTGGCCCAATTTATCTAAAATTCTGGATGACATAGGCAGATTAAACCATGCGTGTGGGGTTAAAAAGTTTTTTCCAAACTACCTGCACCCAACAAGCCCAAAAGTTCGTGGATTGTTGAGACTAATCATAGATGCTTCACTTACTCAACGGCTGGTTCCATCACTATAAGAAGCAACAACTTACTCACTTGTGTATCTATCTGTCTGTCTATCTCAATCAACCATGGCTCTAGAAAATGCGCAGAAACTCGAGAACGGGACGGAATTAGTGGCGGTGAGAAAGGTGACGGACTCGACTATTGTCGTACTGAGGGTGGTTGCGTTTTTGGCCACGGTTTCTGCAACCGTTGTGATGGCAATGAACAAAGAAACCAAGTCCATTGTGGTTGCCACTGTTGGGACTACTCCGATAAGCGTCACTCTCACAGCCAAGTTTCAACACACTCCTGCAAATGTGTAAGCCTCACAGCACTCTCTCTTTTTTCTTTCTCCCTACTATGCAAACAGAAATTAGAGAACGAAGGGCGATTTTCGCAATTGATGAACGATGCAGGTACTTTGTGATAGCTAATGGAATTGCCAGCTTTCATAACTTGTTCATGATGGCTGTGCACTTTTTTGGAGACCATACGTTCAAGGACAAGGGCCTTCAGCTTGTAATGGTGGCCATTTTAGACGTGGTAAGCAGACCGTTGTTTTTTATTTTATATACAAGCGATATTTGGGGAGGGGAAGAATCGAACACAGAGTAACAACGCCGACTAAATTGTATCATCGATTGTGTATGCATTATGCAGATGATTGTGGCCCTATTATCTTCAGGCGATGGTGCAGCAACCTTCATGGCACAGCTAGGGAAGAAGGGAAATTCGCACGCAATGTGGAACAAAATCTGTGACAAGTTCGAGAAGTTCTGCGACCATGCAGGTGGTGCCATCATCGCCTCCTACATCGGGCTCCTTCTCTTGTTGGTTATCACAGCGTTGTCCATCATCAAACTACTCAAAAGAAATTAGAGCTGCATTGATACTAATCCCTTTTAATGTATCAAAATGTATTGCTTTGGATGTGTGTTTGCTCTTAGTGTACAGTGTTGTTGAATTTACTTCACCCTTTTAATTCTGTGTGCCATGAAATCATGTATTTGGATTGAATGATTTTGCTATATCAACATAGTATGGCATAGTTCTTAAGGAGAATGATAATGTTCTAACCTAATAAGCGAGCTGCCTGCTGTGATCTCAAACTATCTAACATTTACATACGTGTATTGAAACGAGAAACTTTTTAGTTTACCCAATTCACAGGCGAATCATTGCATCCATCCGAAATTGACTTTAAAACTGATGACGGAATGAGTTGTGAAGTTTAAGGGTAAATCATAATTGTTAATCTTACTAAACTTTCACAAAAGGTATAACAACTTGTTGACTTGAAAAAATCATGATTCATGCTTTCGAGTCTCGTAAATAACGAGTTAAATATTTGATTATAATTAATTTATAGGGTATTGGCATTCTAAAAATCTCATTTTGCATTCAGAATGTTTTTTATAATTAGTAAGAAAATTACATTTGTTAGGAATATAGAATAAGATTTTTTGAGTGTTAATAACAATTCCCTTTATGAAATTGAGACTTTCAATTTTAGAAATTTTTTAATGTACGCAAA